ACTGTGGGTTCTCCTCTGGGCCGGTTCCTATCACTCCCCCCGTGAGCTGTGACGTGTTTGGACAATTTCCGAGTGAGATAACGATGGGGCCCGGGCCGGTCGCTAGGTCCTCCTGGGTGCCCCAGTTCCCAGCCTCCGCCCCGAGGGTTCCCACGAAGCCAGTGGCTTGGGGACCCGACATCCAGGGGCCGGCAGGGGACAGGTGAGCACGCAGACCCCCCATCCCAGTCCCGTCCTACTCTGAGAACGGTCTTTCCTTTTCAGGGAAACGAGGTTGGTTCTGAGAAGCCCTAAACCCCTGCCGGAGCTAGAACTCCGCCCTTTGAAATTCCCCATCTGCGTACAGGGCGAAACCCGCCTGGACAAGGGACAGGGGCCCCTGGGGCTCCGAGATGGAGCCCAGCCCCGCCCGCGCCCCTCCTGCCACTGCCAGGCGCCCCGGGGGGTCTCTGCCTCGCAGCTAATTGACGCCCGCCTCCCGGCATCCTGGGCGGGGACGCCGCCCCTCCGTGGTCCTGCCCGAGTTACCCCACCCCAGGGCTCAGGGGAACCCGGAGAACGCCCTGGTCAGCTGCGAGGAAGGGAGCGGGACGCGAGGCTCCTAAGGACTCAGGTGCCGCTCATCCTCAGCTGTTTCCACTGAGCTGTCTTCTGTTTGTCTTTTGCCAGCGTCCCCAGAGCCCACCTCCAGCTCGGCAGGTACGTGTCTTCCAGGCTCATGCACCGGATTCCTTACGTCAGCGAAGGCGGCGGGAATGCCCGAGAGCCGGCGATACCGCTTATTTTCATCACGAGACGATTTCCCAGTCCGTCTCGCCACGTTCATACAGCCCACGGAAAACGTGTAAAAGACAAAATTTTCCCCTCCCCACAGCGACGCCCACAGTTTCCACCCGCCCCTCACGGCCAACAGGAGGTGCTCGCCGGTCACTCCACCCGCCTGGTTTAGCTCCCTCTGTTCCGGGCCCTGGGAATGGGGGCTCAGCGAGGCCGCGACAGGGACAGGGCCCTGAGCCGGTGACGCAAGTGGGTGCGGCAATGCCAATGGTGTTTCATCTACACCCCAGGTCACTTGGAGCAAACGTATCCCCAGTGCATTCTTAAGTGACGCCTGAGAAGTCCCAGCAGGAGTTCCTTTGGTGGCAATAGGTGCAATTTCTATCGCTTCGTAAATATTAATTTTTAAAAATGTTTCCTGTTGTTAAAAAAATGCCATACAAGGAATCTGGATATGATAGGACTTTGATGCCCAGAATCCTCCATGTAAAACAGAGTGAGCGAGCCCTGGGCAGGTGGCTCAGCTGATTGGAGCGTCGCCTGTGCACCAAAGGCTGCGGGTTCGATTCCAGGTCGGGGCACATACCCAGGTTGCGGGCTCAATCCCCAGTGCAGGGCATGCAGGAGGCAGCCAGCGGATGCTTCTCTCTCCCCCCCCTTCCTCCGTCTCTGAAACCCATAAAAACATACCCTCGGGTGTGAATTAAAAAAAAAAATAGTGAGTGAGCTCCTTGAACAGGCAGAGTTTGCAGGTACCGGGGTGCTGCCCCCCGGTCTGCGCAAGCTCCGGAGGCGGGTCGGGGTCAGCTCAGGACTGGCCTTCGGGAGCCCCTGTTGCCAGCGTCGGGGCGATTCTGCCCCGACCGGGGCCCCCGTCCTGGCTCCCTCCTTCCCCGCTTCCCCAGGCAGGTTCCTCACAGCGGCCTTCACGCAGTCCCCCCCGGG